TTGCATTAGTAAGCTCATGTCCCTTATGGAAACATTAGGACAAAACCTAGATCACTTAATCTTGGCCTCCCGACTCTACAAATCATATTATCCATAAATTCACATTTAGTCAAAAACGAAGAGAGGATCCTCAATGAAAATCAATCCCAGTTACCCAATTATGCAGGTGTCAAGCAAAGGATCATGAACAATGCTTCCCTGGGTATATCTCTATACCAGACATGGGCAAACCTGGGCCCTCCAGGTGTTTTGGACTTCAACTCCCACCATTCCTAACAGCCTCAGGCCTTTTCCTTTAACCAAGCTGTGTGTGTATGAGAGTACCTCAAGGGACCAGAGATAATCACAGTATATCTCACTAAGGTGTAATTCTATAAGAACTTAGAAATGCCAAATTCATTCCTATTACAGTAGGTAAGTTTCTAAACCTGCTGAAATCAATAGGCTTGTGTTCACCTAACATTATATTATAGGCCTAAAGACCCTAAAGGCACCACATTCCATTTGACCTTGAAAGCTAAGCAGGATCAGTCCTAGGTAGTACTAAGATGGGAGACAATGAATGAATAGTAGGTGCTGCAGGCTATATTTCACATGAAGGAACTGGGGAAAATCACCTCTAAGAAAACCTTAGGAATTTTGTGGGGTTGCCATAAGTCAATGGGCAATGGGAAGACACACAAATAGGTTCACACAGTGGGTTGTTGTAGGCTTTTTCGGGCTATATGGCCATGTTCGGGCTATATGGCCATGGCATCCTCAGAGGTTGTGAGGATGATTGCCATAGATGCAGGCAAAACGTCAGGAGAGAATGCCTCTAGAACATGGCCATATAGCCTGAAAAAACCTACAACAACCTAGTGATTCCGGCCATGAAAGCCTTCAACACAGTATTCTTGTACTGTGATCCACAGCTTCCTTGAGCAATTGCTACTGAAAGAGAGAGAACTGGATGCCAAAAAAAGGCAGGATGGGATTGGATTGCATGAAAATAAGAATAGCTAATCAAAATACATTATGTTTAGTTTCTTCTGTGCCATTCAAAATTAACGGAGCTTTGACAAAATATATTCAGACCCGTGCCATTACACGTCCCAAGTGACAACCTTGTTCCATAGTTGTCAATGACATCTGACTATATGACAAAGCATTTGCTGCTGGCTCTGGAAATGACTTGTTTTCAACTTCCCTATTTCCTCAGGCCTCCGGGCCCTGCTTGTCAAATAGGAAGAGAGGATCCTCAATGGAAAGCAATCTTAGTTACCCCTGATCCTGAACAATGACTCCCTGGGGGTATCTTTATATCAGCCGCTTAAGCGGCTGAGGGGGAAAAGGAAGGGGCCTGAGACTGTCAGGAATGGTGGGAGTTGAAGTCCAAAACATCTGGAGGGTCCAAGTTTGCTAATGCCTGCTCTATAATGTAGAATTAATTCAGTGTGATGACACTTTACCTACCAGGGCTGAATACTATGGAAGCCTGGGAGTTGTAGTTTGGTGAGGCATGAGAAACAAGACCTTGTAAAACGACAATCTTATGGTTCCATAGCATTGAACTATGGCAGTGACTGGGGTCAAGCTGCATTAATGCGGCAGTGTAAAACAGTGGACTCTCAGGCTTAGGAAGGACAAGTGACAGCACACAGCCTGCAAATGAGGGAATGGTGGCAAAAGTAGGGCGAAGGAGAGGGTGGCTAATGCGTGGTAGGCCGAATGTGGGACCAAACTAACCTCCCCCCCCCCCCCCCCCCCCCCCAAGCCCCGTTTATGATCACCCTCAAGGGCCCAAGAAGGGGCCTACAAAGGCAAAGCGCCCAACTCACATCCGCGAAGGGAAGATCTCGATCCGATCCTTGCCCGACATCCTGGCAGGAGAGGCGGCCGGGGCTGAGTGAAGAAAAAACCGCTGGCTCCCGTCTCCCCTCCAGCCGGGGCTGTCACGTGACTCCTCTCGGTTGCCAAGGGCACCACGGCCCCTACTTCCGCTTCCCGCAACCTAGCCCCGCCCACTCGCGGAGAACAAGGCGGGGTCTCTGTCCGCGCGCGGCAAGGCGTAATAGCCATGGAACCGGAAGTGACGTCAGCACGGCTGTAGAAACATAGAGGTATGCAAATAAAAAAAGGGAGGAAGCTGGGTTGTTGTAGGTTTTCCCGGCTATATGGCCATGTTCTAGAGGCATTTTCTCCTGACGTTTCGCCTGTATCTATGGCAAGCATCCTCAGAGGTGGAGGAGACGTGGTTTTAAAAAGGGAATTTTCAGATATTTCCCCAATGCCCATATGTCATGATTTACTGCCATATTGGCCTATTTCTGCAGTAGGCCTATGTTCACAGAAAATGCTGATTGTTTGAGAAATCAGTGCTCCAAAGAAGAAGTTACTATTCAAGGATAACAACATATCCGGACAAAACCAGCTAGCTGTTGGCTAGTTAGAACCCCCAAGTTTCCCAGTCGCTCTGAAGCCATGTTTGCAACAGACTAACAGATAAGATACAGTCATGGTCAGAGAACAATGGACTATAGTTATGTTATAGTTGTGCCATTGTTAGGATCCCATGTGTGCTATAATGTCAATCAAAATCATAAACAACTAATGAACAACTGCATAGCTAGCTTAGACCAATGAAATGATTTGTCTTTGGGAACCAATGAAAATGTATATTCCATTTACTATAAATGCTCTGCAGCCCCATTGGGGGTTGCGACAAACCCTTTGATTGCATCCCTGTATGCTTGTTTGTCGTTATTGCTATGGCCACGCAATAATAAATAGTTTTTTGCAGTTTAAAGGATTCAACTTTCGTGGTGTCCATCCTTGCCCTCCCTATTGGAAAGGGGGCTTCTGCCTTTTGGGAAATATTTTGGTTTCGTTGCCCCTACAGAGGTAGTGAGTCTGTTGGAACTAGGAAAATGGGTTTATATATCTGTGGAATGACAGAGGGAAGCGTTAATAATAATAATAATAATAATAATAATATAAAACTTTATTTATACCCCGCTACCATCTCCCCAAGGGACTCGGTGCAGCTTACATCATCATCTCATCATCATCATCACCTTTAATTACTTATTAATCGCCCTCCATCCGAGATGCTCCAGGCGATTAACATTGCAGAAATTATACAGGATAAAACACATACATACAAATATTAAAATTAACATGCGTCAAATGCTCTAGTAAAAAGCCAGGTCTTAAGTGCTAGGATAAAATGCCCTGAGTCACGCATGGCTCTCAAATAGGGAGGCAAGGAATTCCATAAGGCAGGGGCAGATATAGAGAAGGCCCTGCATCTGGTGCTTTCCAAGTGCACTTCCCTAGGACCTGGTATATAGAGCAAATCGCGTTGGGGTGGTCGTGGCGACCTCCGATGATGGTAGAAGGAGAGACGATCTCTAAGATACAATGGACACTGGCCATATAAAGTTTTAAAGGTCAGGACCAGCATCTTATACAAACCACGATACTCAATTGGGAACCAGTGTAGATGCCGCAGCACTGGTGTTATATGGCATTTCATGGGCGTTTTTGTGAGTAACCTGGCTGCAGCATTCTGGACAATACGGAGCTTTCGGGCCGTAGAAATAGGAAGGCCAACATACAAGGCGTTACAATAGTCTAGCCTAGATGCCAAGCCCACAGTACATGAGGCCAAGCCCACAGTACATCAGTAAACAAAAGCAATAACAAAAACCATCGAAACAATATAAATCACATAAACAAAAAATAAACAATAACGGTAACACACAAGCATTTAAAAAAAACCTATGGCCAGGCCAAATGTAATAATTTAACCTTTAAAATTTAAAAAAAAATGCTGGGCATAATAAACTTTATTTATACCCCGTCACCATCTCCCCAAAGGGGACTCGGAGCGGCTAACATGAGGCCAAGCCCAAAAATAAAATACAGCATGCAGACAACAAAAAATTACATCAGAATAAAATACAGTAGAAAAATAAAATAAAGCAAATTAACACATTATAAAATCGAACAAAATGGGCAGGCCAAATGAAGGAGGTAAAATGATAAATTATTATTATTATTATTTATTAACTTTATTTGTACCCCGCTAGCATCTCCCAAAGGACTCGATGCGGCTTACAAAGTCCAAAGCCACAATAAAACAACAATATAACAATTACATATAAACCAAAGCAAATCAAAAACATTAAAACAATAACAGTGAACAATAAAACAACACACCACGATACAATAAAAACTAGGCTGGGCAAATGTAATGGGTACAGATTAAAAAGTGCTGAGTGTGCTGAGTGATATATAAGGATTTTTGGATAGGTGCAATGTGCGGACAATCTTAATCTCTAATAAAGTGCTTTTGGGACATGTTGCTGGGATTTTCCTATTCTGGAAAGGCACACCGGAATAGCCAGGTCTTCAAGCTCTTCCTAAAGAGGGCTTGTCTGATAAATCCCTGGATGAGGTAGGAAAGAAAATATATAATTGAGGGGAGCCCAAAAAGAATAAACAGTGGGGTAGGCTTTCAGTATAGGATGGGGGAAAGTGCAGCATAGGGACAACACTATAGATGGAGCAAACAGAAATGGGAGAAATGGTCACTCTCCAAAGGCACATCAGAAGAGCCAAGTTTTCAAAGTTTTCAAGCGGCTGAGGGGGGAAAAGGGGCCTGAGCCTGTTGGGAATGGTGGGAGTTGAAGTCCAAAACACCTGGAGAATCCAAGTTGGCCCATGCCTGTGTAGAGCACCCTCTGTGCATTCAGCTGTTCAACCCAAGAAGGGAAGAGCCACCACTAAAACCATTGTTCTCCTCAATCTCTGAGTTTCTATTTGTTTTGGACTTCATGTCCCAGAATCCCTAATCATTGGTGAAAGCAGCTGAGGCTTCTGGGAGTTGAAGTCCAAAAAAAATTCGGAGGCTTAAGGGTTTGGAAGTGTCTCAATTCCCAGCTTTGATGAGTGGCATGGATTTATCAACACAACTGTTTCCAAGTGCTTCCGGTCGCGGGCCAAGAGGAAGAGGTGGGGCGGCGCATGCGCAGTTCTGGGCGGAGTACACGCTGTGACGAGAGGCGGATAGGAGCAGTCGGCGGAGACCTCAGCCAGCGGGGCCTGCAGAACTGACAGGTAAGAAGGGCCGAGGGCAGGCCTGAGGCCTTCTCCTTCCTTGGCCGACACTCTCAGCAGCCTCTGTGCCGGTTCTTAGACCCTCAGCCACCCGGGCAGCCATGGGAGAGCTGCCCCAGAGCTCGGAGGCCTCTTGGCTTGGATCTGTAGGGACCGCAGGCCTCCGTTTCCTATGGCGGCCCCACAGAAAAGGCCTCCTGTTTCTTTGCCGCATTTTCCTCCCAGCTCTGCCTGCCTGCCTCCTTTAGCTGAGGCTAGGCGTTATGTCACAAAGCCCCCCATTGTCTCTGCTTCAGTGGTGTTTTGGTGCCTCAGGAGCCGAGGAAAGGCTTGGAGAGGGAAGTCCAGCAAGCACAGTGTCCTACAGTTATGCAGTTTGGGCGATGAACATGTCTTCCCAGGCTGCAGGGAGGGAGAGGCACTGTTGTGTCTGGTAAGCTTTTGGTTAAGGCCTGATCCTGACTTGTGTGCCATTTCCTAATAATAATAATAATAATAATAATAATAATAATAATAAACTGTATTTATACCCCGCCACCATCTCCCCAATGGGGACTCGGAGCGGCTTACACGGGGCCAGGCCCGAACAACAATTACAATTACAATAAAGAAAACCTATGGTTATTTCCTACCTATGGTGACCCTAAAACAAGCCTACCACAGGGTTTTCTTGGCAAAGTTTGTTCAGAAAGGGGTTTTCCCATGCCTTCCTTGCCACGGTGGTGCACGCTCTTGTTACATCCCGAATAGACTACTGCAACACTCTCTACGTGAGGCTGCCTTTGAAGACCTCTCAGAAGCTTCAATTAGTTCAATGGTCAGCAGCCAGGTTACTTACCAGAGCGGCATACAGGAAGCGTACAACTCCTCTGTTACACCAGCTCCACTGGCTGCCGATCAGCTTCCGAGCGCAATTCAAAGTGTTGGTTTTAACCTTTAAAGCCCTAAACAGTTCTGGCCCAGATTACGTATCTTCTGTTACAAACGATCACAAAGCTTAACATCATCAGAGAAGGCCCTGCTCTTGATCCCACCACTTTCGCAAATGCGGTTGGTGGGGACGAGAGACAGGGTCTTCTCAGCAGTGGCCCCATCTGTGGAACTCCCTCCCTAAGGACATCAGGTTGGCCACCACCCTCCTATCCTTTAGAAGACAATTGAAGACTTGGCTTTGGGACCAGGCGTTCGATTAGTGGACAGTGACATTTGGAAAGAAACTTAGGATATCTGCAACATTGGATTTACCCTGATTTGGGTTTGGTTTTAATTGGCATGTTTAATTTATTGTTTAATTAATTGTATAATGTGTTTAAAATTATTTTTAATGTTTTTAATGTAATTTCTGATTGTTTATATGCTGTTAGCGTCATATGATGCTTGTGTGAGGTCGCCCTGAGTCCCCCTTAGGGGAGAGAAGAGCGGGGTAGAAATGTATGAAATATAATATATAATATTTCTTTAATGCTGAGACAGTGTGACTTGCCCAGGATTATTATTATTATTATTATTATTATTATTATTATTTGAAACACAACAAGATGAGTCCACAGCAGACACTGTCTAGGACTGTGTGATGTATCGGCGAATAATGCTATTATTATTTATACCCCACTTTCATGGATGCCATGTTCTTTGGGAGTTTGCTTAGACCAAGTTAATGGTGCTTTAGGCTTCCTCCACATGAATAAATAAGGAGTTCACTTTTTGAATAATACGAATTAAATGTTACAAGGAGCATCAGGATTTTAAAGATGCTGAGGTGGGGCATGGTTGAAACAGGTTGTAAACCACAGATCTAGTGGATTTCCATGACCAAGAGTGAATTTGGACTCTAGTCTACAGATTTGTCCAGCACTCAAGCCATTGTACCACACTGGCTCTATCCTGAAGTGCAACTATCAAACTGGTTGGATTTGCCTGATTATTTAGTCACTGATGTAATGGTTTTTACTATGCCCAGCAGGCTTTCAATTCATGGTGTTTTCCCCCCTCATTGAGATTGTTGCTCTCCTATATATTTAGGAAATAAAGTTGCTTTGGTTCTTGGAATGTGCCTTAGCCATGTTTCTGCCCATGTTCCACAGGTGGACAGTCCTAGAGGTTGCCCAACTTCATAGAACTATCTTGAGTCACATGACAATAATCTGCCTCTGTTTAGGAATGACTTATAACCATATTTTGGTATTGGATCAGCTATTGCTGCTCACAGACTTTGTAAAGGCAAGAACAAACAATAATGGAGTTAAAATTGCATTGAAGATACAGAATTCTAGAGCAGAGAGAAAAGGATGGAGTATTGCTTTTAGGTGGAAGCTTCCTGTTCTATTCTCCCTGGGGCGTGTTTAATATTAACTTTGTAAATTACTTTGGAGATGTTTTGTTTTTGAAAAAGTGTGTTAGAAATTTTAAGCAAAATATAAATCAAGCTAATCTGCTTTTCGGAATAATTTTAATGTTTTGTACAGTTCCTAAGATATTTGAAAGTGTGTGTCTGTGTGTGTATGCACACAGATATATAATTCTAAACACTACTTGTGTTTTTTTATGAATGAATTGGGTACATTCCCCTTTGGTAGTCCAATAATCTGGTTTTTTATTAGGTTCCAAAATACAGCATTTCACTATTTTTAAAGACTTCGGTGATTTAAATCACATGCCTGAATCCTGTTGGTGGTTTAGACTGAAAGGTAACCTTCACCCCCATTACCATATGAGAAGTATTTTATTGAATGTTGTGGAAAGAGGCATCCAGCACTTACCTGTAGAGCATTTTACCAGATGGCTCCCAAGTGCAGCTCTGCCTTCTGTGAGCAAATTTATCACAAGGCCCCATTCAGGTTGTGTCCAATAATACTTTTGCAACTCAAGAAGAGGAAGAAGAAGAGCCTCTGCAGTTTTGAAGGAAAGGCTGCCACTTCCTTCTTGGGTTTGCAAGAGTAAGCAGACAACACTGGGGTTTAGCCTTGTAGTCAGTGAGTAGCTAATGTCCTGGGAGCTCTTACGCAGCTTGAGAAGGAGCAGCTATTGTCTTCCTGATCACTGGCAGAGATTTGCACTCCACAAATTGTGCTGGAAATAAATCCATAATTTTTAAACTTAAGAACAGGGCAATCTGACATTTACTTTTGGTCTGCAGCATGTAATAAATTAAATAGATTATAAAGGTTTTTTAAAAAAATCTGCATTATATTCTGGAGAAAGATCGGTGTGATGGGTGGGCCCAACTAAATAAAGTGCAATGTCAAAATACCACTGAGCATTTTCAGTGTCACAGGCTTTGAATGCTTGTCAAAGTAAAGTATGTACAGACTATGCCATTCTTTCCACAGTTGTGCAAAGTAGATACATTTTGGGGCTTTTTATAGAATCATAGAGTTGGAAGAACCGCAAGGGTCATCCAGTCCAAGCCCTCCACCTAGTCTTTTGTTTTGTTGGTTTTGCAAAATTTGGGGCTGAGGCCAAGGTGGCTGGTTTAATTAAGGTGAGTTTATAGAAGGAAATACACTTGAAGGTGCCAGATCCCATCTGAGCTTGGAATCTAAACAGGGTCAGCCCTGGCTAGTACTTGAAAGGAATACTGCCAACAATATTTCAGTGGAAATATTGTTCAGTGGAACAATATTTCTGGTAAAACCACCTCTGAGAATTCTGTGCCTCAGAAAATCGTATGATTTCTTGGGATCCCCATAAATCAGCAAGTGGCTTGAAGGCATGTACATAAGCAGAAGATTTCTCAGCTTACACTTTTTTCATAAGACTATCAGATTTATCTAGTAGGAGGTTTCAGGGAATTGTTTGCAGTCTTATTCTTTCTCCTTTTTCTCATCACATGTTCTGCCAATGTGTAACTGTAACATCTGGAGGTTTTAAATATTTCCCCAGATATCTTCGCTAATACATTTTGCTTTTGGTTTGCACAACATTAAGTAATTTGTTTATTGTTATAGTTACCTAAGACACAAAATTATTAAGCTTTGTATGACATGCTGCTCAGAATCACTGAGATGTCTTAGAGCAAAATGCACCATTTAATAATCTAAATATATGGGTTTTTTCACTCTAATTTATTTTGTGTTTTAGTTCAGTCTTTATTATAAACATCAACACATGCTTCTCTCTTCTTGTTACAATATTGCAGGATGCCTGGACTAAGTTGTAGATTTTACCAGCATAAATTTCCAGAAGTAGAAGATGTGGTCATGGTCAACGTCCGGTCCATTGCAGAAATGGGAGCTTATGTTAGCCTTCTGGAGTATAACAATATCGAGGGTATGATTTTACTCAGTGAACTGTCCAGGAGGCGTATCCGTTCTATAAACAAACTCATCCGAATTGGAAGAAATGAGTGTGTTGTTGTCATAAGGGTGGATAAAGAGAAAGGTAAGTTGAGTTTTGAAATATGTAGTCCCATTTTGAATTTTTAAGGCTGTATCCAGATTTACTTTGAAGCAAAAGTCCCTTTCATGTACACAAGTCAGTCCCACTGAAATCTCCTTTTCTTGTCTTACTCCAGTTTCTTGTGTCCAGTTACACACAATTCCAAAAGTCTCCTTAAGTAGCAGTTTTAAGATGCACAACAGTTATTGTGGAAAGGAGGGTCACTAAGCATCAAAGTAGTAAAGTTCTAGATGTCTATAAGTGAAGGCAAGCCTAAATGTATGTATGATTTTTAGTTGATATTTTGTGTCATAATTGTATTTGGAGACAGTGAATTGAAAGACAAAGAGGAAATGGCCCTAAAAGTTGAATGGCTTGACATTTCTTTTTTGAAACCACATAATTTTTAGTGCACTAAATAGATGTGATATTTTTCACAAGTGAGAAAGCAAGGTTGAGGATTTATATTGAAACCTAATCATGCTCATTTTGTATTAGGTTATATTGATTTGTCAAAAAGAAGAGTTTCCCCAGAGGAGGCCATTAAATGTGAGGACAAATTCACCAAGTCAAAAACTGTAAGTTTCCATTTTATTCGTTTATGCTGCTTTGGTTTACAGAACTTTAAAGTGGGAATAAATTTCAGTAGGTGTATAAGTGTGTTTGGAAGTAGTTGCAAAATGTTTCATGATTCAGCTTATGAATATTTGCACTTAGAAATAGCTTCAGTGTGTGAGTGTATTGCCATTGGCTGTGGCAATTCTGTTCTTCATTTAACAGCAGGTGTGAGATTGATGAGTACTCCTAACAAGGCTTCCTTTGCAGTGAATTTGACACTATAAATTTAAAGAAATAAGCATGGCCCTTGTCTGTATTGGCTTTTAGGAAAGATACTAAAATAGACTTCTTAAAATTCAAGTAACCCATGCCAATTAAGGAACCAAGATGATAAAATATAACATAGCCATTGAAAACATCACATGTTTTATTATCCAGGATCCTTAACTAGCCTAGTTGTTTATAAACCATTGAGGCACCCTAAAGGGTAACTTATAAATAAATAATAAATTAAGAGAACAAAAACATTGAAGAAAAATGTGACCTTATGTATCATGTCAATAACATGTTGTTGTTCATTCGTTCAGTCGTCTCCGACTCTTCGTGACCTCATGGACCAGCCCACGCCAGAGCTCCCTGTCGGCCGTCACCACCCCCAGCTCCCTCAAGGTCCAGGTCCAGTCACTTCAAGGATGCCATCCATCCATCTTGCCCTTGGTCGGCCCCTCTTCCTTTTGCCTTCCACTTTCCCCAGCATAATTGTCTTCTCTAGGCTTTGCTGTCTCCTCATGATGTGGCCAAAGTACTTCAACTTTGTCTCTAGTATCTTTCCCTCCAGTGAGCAGCCGGGCTTTATTTCCTGGAGGATGGACTGGTTGGATCTTCTCGCAGTCCAAGGCACTCTCAGAACTTTCCTCCAACACCACAGTTCAAAAGCATCGATCTTCCTTCGCTCAGCCTTCCCTAAGGTCCAGCTCTCACATCCGTAGGTGACTACAGGGAATACCATGGCTTTGATTAGGCGGATCTTTGTTGCCAGTCTGATGTCTCTACTCTTCACTATTTTATCGAGACTGGACATTGCTCTCCTCCCAAGAAGTAAGCGTCTTCTGATTTCCTGCCCACAGTCTGCATCTGCAGTAATCTTTGCACCTAGAAATACAAAGTCTGTCACGGCCTCCACGGTTTCTCCCTCTATTTTCCAGTTGTCAATCATTCTTGTTGCCATAATCTTGGTTTTTTTGATGTTAAGCTGCAACCCAGCTTTTGCGCTTTCTTCTTTCACCTTGATTAGAAGGCTCCTCAGCTCCTCCTCGCTTTCGGCCATCAGAGTGGTGTCATCTGCATATCTGAGGTTGTTAATGTTTCTTCCAGCAATTTTCACCCCAGCTTTGCATTCATCAAGCCCCGCACATCGCATGATGTGTTCTGCATACAAGTTAAAAAGGTTGGGTGAGAGGATGCAGCCTTGCCTTACGCCTTTCCCAATCTTGAACCAGTCTGTTGTTCCATGGTCAGTTCTGACTGTTGCTACTTGGTCCTTGTACAGATTCCTCAGGAGAGAGACAAGGTGGCTTGGGATGCCCATCCCACCAAGAACTTGCCACAATTTATTATGATCCACACAGTCAAAGGCTTTAGAATAGTCAATGAAGCAGAAGTAGATGTTTTTCTGAAACTCCCTGCCTTTCTCCATTATCCAGCGGATATTGGCAATTTGGTCTCTCGTTCCTCTACCTTTTCTAAACCCAGCTTGAACATCTGGCACCTCTCGCTCCATGTATTGCTGGAGTCTTCCTTGCAGGATCTTGAGCATTACCTTACTGGCATGAGAAATAAGGGCAACTGTACGGAAGTTTGAGCAGTCTTTCGCATTTCCCTTTTTTGGTATGGGGATATAAGTTGATTTTTTCCAGTCTGATGGCCATTCTTGTGTTTTCCATATTTGCTGGCAAATGGCATGCATCACCTTGACAGCATCATCTTTTAAGATTTTAACCAGTTCAGCTGGGATCCCGTCGTCTCCTGCTGCCTTGTTGTTAGCAATGCTTCTTAAGGCCCATTCAACCTCACTCCTCAGGATGTCTGGTTCTAATTCATTCACCACACCGTCAAAACTATCCTCAATATTATTATCCTTCCTATACAGATCTTCTGTATAGTCTCGCCACCTTCTCTTGATCTCTTCAGCTTCTGTCAGGTCCCTGCCATCTTTGTTTCTTATCATACCAATTTTTGCCTGAAATTTACCTCCAATGTTTCTAATTTTCTGGAAGAGGTCTCTTGTCCTTCCTATTCTGTTGTCTTCTTCCAACTTCCATGCATTGCTTATTTAAAAATAGTTCCTTATCTCTTCTGGCTAACCTCTGGAATTGCGCATTTAACTGGGCATATCTCCCCTTATCCCTGTTTCCTTTTGCTTTCCTCCTTTCTTGGGCTACTTCCAGTGTCTCAGCAGACAACCATTTTGCCTTCTTGGTTTTCTTTTTCTGGACGTACTTTGTTGCCGCCTCCTGAACAATGTCTCGGACTTCTGTCCATAGTTCTTCTGGGACTCTGTTTACTAAATCTAGTCCTTCAAATCTGTTCTTCACTTCCACTGTATATTCGCTAGGAATGTTAGTGAGATCATATCTAACTGGTGTATGTGTTTTCCCCAATCTCTTTAGTCTTATTCTAAATTGAGCAGTAAGAAGTTCGTGATCTGAACTACAGGCAGCCCCAAGTCTTGTTTTCACTGACTGGATGGATGTCCGCCACCTTTGGCTGCAAAGGATGTAGTCAATCTGATTTCGGTGTTGACCGATAACTATGTCAATAACATAGTTCTGGATAAATCACTTGTGAGAATGATTTGTGATTATTTGGTTGATTTATGAAAAAGTAGGCTGGCTCTATTGCAAACAGATCTGTATGTGCAACTGTAAAAGGAAGAGAGCAAAACTTTACTCTCAAATTTTACCTCACCTGTGAGACTGGGTTCCAGAAAAGGGGGCTCCATGTGACTAAAGTCTCCTGCCCATTATTGTATCCTTCACATCAAGACAGCAGATGAAGACAACATGGAAAGGTTTTCAAAAGCTTCATCTGCTCAATATTGTTGTGACAGTACAGTCAAACACATGAATAAAAAATGATTCCAATTCTTCTGTGCATGTTGTGAAACATCTATATAGATAGATATATAGATATAGATACGTAAATATGTTAGTTGGCATATTTGTATCACAAAGTCTCCTACATGGTGTGATGGATCTGAGTCAAACTTGGCACACATACCCTTTCATTGATCAACTTAAAATAATTGAGAAGTTTGAACTAAAAAAAAACCCACCTCGTTTGGGCTCAGAGCTAAAGGAAAGAACAGGAACAAAACAGATTGTCAGTGGCTAGGTTAGTGTTTCTCAACCTGTGGGTCCCCAGGTGTTTTGGCCTACAACTCCCAGAAATCTCAGCTAGTTTACCAGCTGTTAGGATTTTTGGGCGTTGAAGAAATCTGGGACTTACAGGTTGAGAACCACTGGGCTAGGTGAAAGATTGACCATGGTGCACTTGCCCTTGGCAATAATCACATCTAAGAATCGTGAACCCAAACCCATTAATTGTTTGTTCAGCCACAATATTGCTTTATAATGTTCGTCTTATTATGATGTTTTATTGTTTTTGGATGTTGACTGTATTTCTGTGCTTGTTTTTAATCTGTATTTGCTGGGCACATCCCTTGTAAGCTGTCCTGAGACCCTTCGGGGAGTTGGAGGTTGGGTGGAAAAATAAAGTTGTTGTTGTTATTATTATTATTATTATTATTATTATGTAGAGGTGAAATGGCACTCTATGGTGATGAGAAAGAAAAGGTGCAAAGTGGCTTCACATTTGGCTGTTGCTAGGTGAAATGCCCCCTTTGATATCATTAGGAAAGAAAGGGAGTGAAGTGGCTTGGCTGCTGCTAGGTGACATGTAAGAATGAGAGAGAGGAAACGGAGGGAAGAAAAGAAGAGAAAGAAAAAAGGGAAAATATATGAAAGAAAGGCAAGAAAGAAAGCATGAAGGAAGGGAAGGACAGTTAAAAGAAGAGGGGGGAGGTGTATGAGGTAAAGCGAGGTAAGAAGGAAAGAAAGAAGGGGGAGATGGAGAAAGTATATGAGACAGCCTGCCCACGTTCGCTAGAATGTTGCAGACTAAAGAGTGGTCCTCAATGATGCCCAGGCAATGCCAGGTATATACGCTAATACGGAATATTTAACAAATGGTGTTTAGATGTATGCTATATAAATGGGATTGAAAGCCTTTATTCTTTTCTGTGTTCATCATTGAATTTGATGTGCTGTACTTTGTAATATCTTAGATTTATTCTTATGAGCCTTATTGTCATTTATACTTAGGTTTACAGTATCCTTCGTCATGTTGCCGAAGTGTTAGATTACACAAAGGATGAACAGCTGGAGAGTCTTTTCCAAAGAACTGCCTGGGTATTTGATGACAAGTACAAAAGGCCTGGATATGGTGCATATGATGCCTTCAAACATGCAGTTTCGTAAGTATAATTTTCCCACCTTGCTACAATTTCTCCAAAAAAATTTAATAGGCTTGATTTGGTTTTTTTATATGTAAATATGACTTGCCAGATTCAATAGATCCTAGACTTAGAAGGAGTACTTAACAGTTGCTTTTTCTCTTTCCCCTACTAAAAAACAAAGATTTAGGGACCCACAAGGAAGGCAGTATTAGGAATTTATCAGAGGAGCTGATGAAAATTCCCTGCTTCTTAGTCTCAGTCCCTTCTTTAAAGAGAAAGACGCTTTCCATTCACAGGAAGCTAACTTAATCAAACCTATAGACCAGTGGTTCTCAACCTGTGGGTCCCCAGGTGTTTTGGCCTACAACTCCCAGAAATCCCAGCCAGTTTACCAGCGGTTAGGATTTCTGGGAGCTGAAGGCCAAAACATCTGGGAACCTACAGGTTGAGAACCACTGCTATAGACTCTTCTGGTTTCTTTTTGCTGAACCTCACTGACAAAAGCCAGTTGAAACAAATCTTCCCGTGGTTAATGTGTAGATTTTAATAAGCTTTCAGAGGAAGAGAGACTATCTTAAATATTCTGACAACAAGTTCACTTTTTCTATCATGCTCATTGAACCTGATGACATGTTCTTCTACATTCTCTGTCAGGCTTCTCAAGGCCTCTTTGAGTCTCCAAGAGAGCAGTGGGGTGGGGGGGAGGGTTACAAATACTATAAATGCATACATACTTGATGAGGTTTTTGTCGATTTGATGGTAGCTCAGGTATCTGAGACATCAAGATGCAGGTTTAATACCTCAGCAAGAACTCAATTAATTGGCCAAATTAGACTGTGGGGACAGAACATAGGAATGTAGTTTGATTGCAGTGGCATCTAAGGATTACTTGTGTGAAATCAGTGCAATATTCAATATGGAGTAGTTTGTTTCAGAGTAGCATTGTGTTTAATAATTAGTCTCGTATTTAAATTGCTCCTAGGGTGACTGATAAAGGTCCACTGCAAATGTAAGACTATCAAGTATAGTGAAGAGATCAGAGAGCAATTTGATGACTCCTGCGTAAATTCATTTTCTCTCAGCTTCATTTATCTCTATTAACCAAAGTATAGTTTGTGTCTTGTATCTTCGCTGATGCTAAAACTGGACTAGCATTGGTACAAATATGATGACACAGCACTAATGAAAGTTTGTACATACAAAGAGAACTAAACAGTACACAGTCCTCCTCCCTGTCTCATTACCCTAATTACATCTTCAGAATCCCTTAACAGCAGTAGTTCTCAACCTGTGGATCCCCAGGTGCTTTGGCATACAACTCTCAGAAATCCTAGCCAATTTACCAGCTGTTAGGATTTCTGGGAGTTGAAGGCCAAAACATTTGGTTGAGTACCTTCCTTACAGGATATAACTATTCTTAACTTCAGGGAAATTATAATACATTGACATTGCTTCTTCCTCTCCTATTACATGCTTTACTAAATGCTGGTGCAGTTACTTATAACTCTCCTTTTTAAATCTAGGGATCCCTCAATCCTTGATGGACTGGATTTGAACGAAGATGAGAAGCGTGTATTAATTGACAATATCAACAGGCGACTGACTCCACAAGCTGTCAAAATTCGAGCAGGTGAATCCGCCCAAAATGAAGTAGCTGAAGAAATTGGACTGTTTGTTTAGAATACATTCATTATACAGTTGTCCTGCATTTCTGGGCTTTCTCAGACCCATTAATCTCAGCCAGCATGTCCACTGCTCAAGGATGAAAGGAATTACATTCCAAAAAAAGTCTACAGATCCATAGGTTACCCACTTCCGTTTTAGGATGCATTACCTTACTACTTTGTTACGTTTTTAAGGAAATAAAACCTCATAGGACTCTTCTCCCTCTGTAGCACCCTAGATATTAGATCATTGTATTGTTTTTTGGTCATAATGACCTCCCTCCCACTTTGACACTGATTTAGCTGCTGTAATGACACAGAGTCCTCATGGACAACAAGTTAAACATGAGCCAACAATGTGATGTGGCGGCAAAAAAAGCCAATGGGATTTTGGCCTGCATCAATATGAGCATAGTGTCTAGGTCCAGGGAAGTAATTCTACCCCTCTATTCTGCTTTGGTTAGGCCACACCGGGAAAATTGTGTCCAATTATGGGCACCACAATTCAAGAGAGATATTGACAAGCTGGAATGTGTCCAGAGGAGGGCGACTAAAATGATAAAGGGTCTGGAGAACAAGCCCTATGAGGAGCGGCTTAAGGAGCTGGGCATGTTTAGCCTGAAGAAGAGAAGGCTGAGAGGGGATATGATAGCCATGTATAAATATGTGAGAGGAAGCCACAGGGAGGAGGGAGCAAGCTTGTTTTCTGCTTCCCTGGAGACTAGGACGCGGAACAATGGCTTCAAACTACAAGAGAGGAGATTCCATCTGAACATGAGGAAGAACTTCCTGACTGTGAGAGCTGTTCAGCAGTGGAACTCTCTGCCCCGGCGTGTGGTGGAGGCTCCTTCTTTGGAAGCTTTTAAACAGAGGCTGGATGGCCATCTGTCAGGGGTGATTTGAATGCAATATTCCTGCTTCTTGGCAGGGGGTTGGACTGGATGGCCCATGAGGTCTCTTCCAACTCTTTGATTCTATGTTCTATGATTCTATGTTCAGAGTGAGGAAAGTTGCCATTTTTGACTAAGATTAAAATCTATGATGATTCAAAGGAACAGCTAGTTTATCAGGATATGTTGATGATTAAGACATTTTTGGGAGGCGGGGGAGACTTGAGAAACTATGAGACTGAAGTGTCATTGGCATGGTAATTGCAGGAAGTATGCAAAATAGGCAGTGGAAAAAGGAGCTCAAGGGATAGTTATAGATTATTTAAAAAACAGAGCAGAGAAAAAGAAGACCTGAGATGTTGCTAATCACGAAAGGGGTAGATGCAGGTAGATTGTCATATATGGTTTAAAAAAATTGATTTTCCAGACTGCAGTAAAGCAGAAGCAATATATAAAGTGATGAGCATACTGTATAAAAAAGGAATACTTGCATAGAGGGAAAGGGGTGGTGAAATTGATTTATTGTTTGGAACTTTGATTTTTCTCTTCAGGTGAATCATTCACTGTTTAAAGTGAGTTAAATATCAGTGAGTTAAATATCAATTTATATTTTATAATTACTGAATGAGGTCAGAAACATAAGCTGCTAAACTGGTTTAAAATTATATGAAGCTTTGCATTCCTTCCCTTAAGCGCTTGTATGTATTAATTACTTGAGCAGCCTACATGTGGATTGAACTATTGTTGTTTTTAAGAAAATATGGAAATTCCCAAAATTTTGTTTTGTAGGAAATAAGTTAATACCAAAGGTGATTATCAGATCGGTTGTAACCACAGCAAATACTGCCTAGTGTTATGAATCACCAAGGTGCTGCTTCATAAATTAGTATTCGCATGAAAAGGCACCCAGAAGTAGTAGTGACAGAAGCTAGAAATTTACCCAGCATTGTGTATCTCTGATCATTATACTGCAAGATGTTCCTGGATACAAGACATCAAGCAAGTTATGTGAAAAAATACAAAGAAGAACACAGATGCCTGCTTTTGGGAAAGTGCTCAAGTTGTTTTCCATTTGGCACCATTAGACAGATACTGAAGCTAACACCATTGGGGCAGTGGCTTAATATGTACATGTACCTTGTTGAAGGGAAGAACTACAGCAAGATGGAACTAACTTAGAGAAGATGTTAGATTTGCCCACTTCTGCTTGTGTGATTGAATGACCTGAGTTCGAACAATAATAGAATAAAACAGAGACTTTAATTTCTGGAGTCTTTTAAAGAATGTTTTGTATATATTTTAATATAATCTATAATGCTCTTCTCTCTAGATATTGAAGTTGCCTGTTACGGCTATGAGGGCATTGATGCAGTGAAAGAAGCTCTGAGAGCTGGCCTAAGCTGTTCTACAGAAAACATGCCTATCAAAGTAAGTGGCATTCATTAGTTTGTGTGTTCTGGAATACCTGCATAATACCTTTTTGTGTGCTTTTTACCTGTCTAACCCATTGATTGAGTGAGTAGATTAGCCAGAGTGGTAAGGAAAGAAAGTTATCTATAACTTGGAAAATGACCAGTTGAATTTGTATTGTATTTCCTTAATTATTGTTATTCATTAGCTTGACAGTGAATGTTTGCTACTTTTATTTTGTTGTAAGCTGCCTGAGTTCCTCTAGGGAGATAGAGTGAGCTATAAATAAAGCATTATTATGATATTATTATTATTATATTAGTTTGATAGAGCAGCTGTTATCTTTTGCTCACACCTTGAAAGTTTATTTTCAGGTATCATTTTTATACTATTAATGAAGTTGCTCCACATAGTGCCTTAGAATTTTATCAAATATGTTCAATATTTTGTTTTTCTTTGGACTTATGAAGATCAGTCTGATGTTGTTTTGCCATTCTTGTAGATAAATTTGATAGCTCCTCCTCGATATGTGATGACCACTACAACACTGGAGAGAACTGAAGGCCTTTCTGTCCTCAGCCAAGCAATGACTGTCATTAAAGAAAAAATAGAGGAGAAGAGGGGTGTCTTCAATGTGCAGATGGAGGTAAGTATTACATGTTCCTCTAAACATGGGGGCTCCAATACTGTTCTTGTGTAACTGTGCCTGCAGGGGACTGTTTATGGTTCCTGCATTACCCTTATTGCAGCTAAGGGATTGTAGACGTTTTGTTTTCAAACTAAGAGATGGGCAATTTGCCTTGTGCAACTTATGCTCTCTGGGGACAAGCAGCAGACACAGTTTCAAGCAGGGTGAAAATGAAAAGAAGTTAGAGTAAGAAAGAAGGAGGAACAAGAAAAGAAAGACTGGCCAAAAAAAATCAGCAATGGAAATATCCAGATAGAGGCTAATCAGACTGCTCATTGAAAACAAGCGCCTGATTGAATAACACCATATTTCAAGATTTGCTGTTTCCTAGTACTAGGGAATTTATTATTGGGACTGAGTGATGTCCCTCCTTCTGCCAGTGGAATAGATTCATCTTCCTCCTCCATTCCCTTGAATGTGCCCCTGTATTGGCTGGGGGACCTCTAGACCGGACACGGAGAAGTCCAGCCCGGAAAAGATGAAGTGGAAATCTTCTCCTTTGACTTTAAATATAATTCTTAATATCTTTCTATCCCATTTTGACAGCTACTGGGTGATGTTAAGAAATGGAAATCTCTCCTAAGGGGTTTCTATTTTGTCTTGGAAAGCTACACTCTTTATTAGTGATAACACTACAGCTATATAAAATCAAAGATCAAAATTTCCTTCTGTTTCCCCACTTTCACCCACTCCCACCCCATATTCAGCTAAATTGAAGCTGCAATGACCAAGAAAATAGTTTTAAAGGGAAAGGTTTGCAATATAAACTAACTGTGTGGTTTCAGTCTGCTGCTTTAACCATTGAGATGAATAGGCAAGTTTAATTATTTCTCAAATGGAGTTACAGAAGTGAAAACATTGACAGAAAATGTGCTGGAGGAAATAGATGTACTATCAGCATAAATCTGATACTAAATCTTTTTTTTTTCTCTGTTAGAAATGTCACTTCTGATTATGTCTGGTTACTGCCAGGAATTGTATTTGCTTACTAGTAACTTCACTTGGCTGGCATAGATCAGTATTTATTTATATACTATTCTGCCTTTCTCACCACAAAACCGAAGGCAGTAGGTATCCTGTAAGTTAAAATGGAATACACTGTTAAGTGTTTCAGTCTGGACACTTTCATTCCAGACCCATACTGTATAGGTCATAACTAGAATTTCAAATTGCCCAGGAAAACAGAACAACTGCTCTTTGGAAATCCACCCCCAAGGCAGAATCAAGCAGAAATGTAACTCCCACAGGCCTAATGTCTCATGTGTCATTTGGTTTGCTTTGAGATACAATGCTTGCATTTCATGACAAAGGAATTAATTAAACATAACTTGGCATTGTCTTCTATACAGTATGATCCACATATTCATGTGGGATACAGTACTTTCCAAGGTACTTGTTGTGAATACTTGAAACTGTGCTTAATAGCAAATCCTGTGCTTTGAGCATACTTGAGGTGCAAGCATATCAAACGATTATTATTGGCAGACCCTAAGTGAGGCCTCTCTAGGTCATCCAGTGCAGTTGTATGGTGTACTTGGGCTGGAAGAATTCTATAGAACCACACTAGTAGGCTTAAAGAGGCCCACAAAAACTTGGTGGAGGGTAAGTGAAACTGCACATATCGCATCCATTAGTAAAGGGGTCATACTGTACCGTTCTGAAATTTTAACTGTTTATCTCAGCTTTCCTCCTACAGCCTGAGCCATCATGTTCATTGATTGGGTTATGGGTGGCACTAGGTTAAGGAAACGGGCCTGGTCAATATGGAAAACCAAGAACTCGAGTTCACTCCTCAAAACTTGTTGAGAAAGAATAACTTTGTTTTTATGCTTCCTCTCTTTCTAGACCCCTTCCACACAGCTGAATAAAATCCCACATTATCTGCTTTGAACTGGAATATATGGCAGTGTGGACTCAGGGCCCTTTCAGACAGGCCCTATATCTCAAGATCTGATCCCAGGCTTTCTGCTTTAAATTGGATTGTACGACTGGACTGGAGAACTCCCAGCAGTTTTTAAAATGTTTAACAAGTTTTTTTCCCAGGATAAAAAAGGTCAAAGAAAATAACATTTATATTGTTTAAATTATTTTTTAAAGCAGAGACTACTACTACTCAATATATAGCCAGTAATGCTCTTTTCTGAAGCAGCAGTTGGCTACTGTTGAAAAAGGTGCTGTAGGCTTAGATGGGCTGATCTATGATGTTAATATATATCCCCATCCTTAACATTTTGGATGAGTAAGCTGCATTCACTACAGTTGTACAAAACCATTTTTGATTAACGCAAATCAGCTTAAATGGTTTTTGGATGACCCTAGAAAGCAAATGAAGAATTATTTCTCTTTTTGTGATTTTCAGCCCAAAGTGGTCACTGACACCGATGAGACTGAGCTTGCAAGACAACTGGAGAGACTGGAGCGTGAAAATGCTGAAGTAGATGGAGATGATGATGCTGAGGAGATGGAGGCAAAAACCGATGATTAAACTTCTTAGGATGAAAGTATAGTTGGCAATTACAAATACGCCAAACAAGTGAAGAGCCCTTCAATTGACAGGGCGTCTGGTATTGAAACGCCACAAGAAAATACTTGAAATATTTTCAAGTTTTAATGAGACCAAATTTTGGAGATACAAGAAACCATCAGCTGCAATTATTGCTTAATCTCTTTAAAGGAAAGGTGCTTTTGACTGAAATTTTGCTTTCCTTCCCCTCAATAAACTAGGCATTGTCTAAAATGCTGTTCTCAATATTTTCATATCTAACAAGATTGGCAAAGTATTCAGTATGTATGTCAGTGAGGTTTCGAGAGTTAAACCAATATTTCTTCTCAGATTGTACTCTAGTAAATATTCAATAAATTTCTTGGACATTTATCTAGGTTTCTTTTCTTTTTACATGAACTAAAAAAAACTAGCATAACGAAGAATTCATTGAAAGGAGTAACTTTTAGAGATGACAACGTGTATCCTGGTGTCTGAATTGTGCTTATGTGACTTCTGCTAGCAAAGACAAATCTCGGACAGCACAGGACACAGCTGCTTAAGATTTTAAGAATGAAATAATAAAAATCATATTGGATTTTTTTTGTGTGCAAACACTGAAAATTATGGCTTTAGTTCAATCATTTCAAAGCTTTGCATTTCATTTTGAATTTACTGTGCTATGAAATAGCCTTGGAACAAACTGAAATTTGTTTTCTTATGCTCTATGTGAGATAACTATAATCTGATTTGTTTGGAAGTAGCAAAGGGTTTTGGATTAAATTGTCTGAACACATCCACCACATAAAGTATATAATCCCCTTTGGTGGAAAAAATCCCCTTCTGTTGCATTATTCTTCTGTTTAGTTTTTCAAGGCCTCCTTTGACAAGATCTTCAAATACTAAAGCAAGTGTGCTAAAATAGCTGCCCAGTATAATTAATCTCTTAAGGTTTTTTCCCTCTGGATTTTTTCATATAGAATGAGACAATAAAGGTGTGATAGGTGCAAATTGTCAAATATGCTATAAATTGTGTAATCTATTTATTTATTTATTTACGGCATTTGTAGCCCGTCTTTCTCAGCCTTATGGCGACTCAAGGTGGCTCACGGAGTTAGCAAATTTGCTGCCATGTTGTTGTTGTTGTTCATTCGTTCAGTCATTTCCAACTCTTCGTGACCTCATGGACCAGCCCACGCCAGAGCTCCCTGTCAGCCGTCATACATTCATAAAAATAAAGTTAAAAACATTCTACTCAACATTATAAAAACATATATAACCAATTAAAAACATATGATTTTAATATGATTATTTTAAAGAAATCAGTGTGCTTTCTGAAATAGTTTATACTGATGTTACCTAGAAATAATGGCCCCCCGGTGGTTAGCCCACTGAGCTGATGAACTTGATGACTGAAAGGTTGGCATTTCGAATCCAGGGAGTAGGGTGAGCTCCTGCCGTTAGCCCCAGCTTTTGCCAATCTAGCAGTTCAAAAACATGGAAACGTGAGTAGATCAATAGGTACCGCTTTGGCGGGAATGTAACAGTGCTCCATGCAGTCATGCCAGCCACATGACCTTGGAGGCATCTACAGACAATGCTGGCCCTTCGGCTTAGAATTGGAGATGAGCACCACCCCCCAGAATCAGACACGACTAGACTTAATGGCAGGAGAAACCTTTACTTACCTGGACATGTGACCCAATTGCATTAATGCTTCAAAATAATATTTCTACCAAAAAGACGAAGCAATCCATAAATGCATATTGAGTTCATTTCAGGTTACTATTTTACACTGGCTCAAAATACTAAACTTTGGTAATATTAGATACTTTTCAATTTACCACAAGCCTTTCTGATGTTGAAAAATTAAAGACCTGTAAAACATTTGACTTTGAGCAAATGATCTGAAAGTACATAGAAGCAATACTACATAGGAATTTAAACAGGCAGGAAAAACTGCCGGAAGGGAAGTTCAACTAGCTGCTCTGAGAGGAAAGAAATTGTCAAAATAGATTATTCTTATTTGACTGGAAGACGGGGGGCTTTTAATTTATGTTAATTTGAAAGCCCACGGGAAAATAATATCTGGTGCTATAGCTGAAATCTCACATTTTCCAATATTCAGAAGACATTAGCAATGTCTTCCGTCTTTCTTGATTTTTATACTTTTGAGCTCCAAAGGGCTTGCAAGCAGAAGTTGGAACTGGAACTGGAGAAAGAGTTGTACATTTCTGGAAATAAGACATCAACTTCGTAACATCCTTTCTGTTTTTAACACAGGATTATAACTACGGAATTCAATCTACACAAAGGGCTTTAGCATATGAATATGCAGGGAAAGCTTCCTATTTCTTGCTGATAGTGCTACTTAAAATGTGGGCTAGCAATGCCCTGAGTTGGGGTGTAGAAACACTATAGATCCTAGCCAGGCTGCAGTTTGGAAGGGTATTAGGCAGGTTACCTCATTTAGCCAACTAGAGTCTCTTAGCACTTGTCCATTTACTTTTTCCTGCAGTAGTGTTGGTCTTCTAACTTCCAAGTCTCCTCTTTGCTGTTACTTTTATCAGATAGGTCCAAGGAAATGGATTACACAGCCCCTTCTGCCTTTCCTTCTGCTTACAAGAGACAGAGAGGGAGGGAGATGGAGATGGTGGAGGCAACAGTATCACTGCCAAAGCACCAAGTGAAAGTGGCCCAGAGCTTCAACAGTGAACCCACTAGGGTTTGGTTCTAAGATCCCCTGTGAATACCAGCATCTGTGGATATAGAGAGTTGACTATCCTTTTTAAAAACGTGTTCCCTTGTTGCAACGAAAAAGTAATTGGTAGTCATTACAGTAACTTATTTATTTATTTATTTATTTCGTACACTTCTATCATGCCCTTCTCCCCACAAGGGGGACTCAGGGCAGCCTAACTTATACTGTTTTATTGTTTATGTCTTTGTAAAATCTCTTGAGACAAATGGCATAAAATACGAGAAACTGTCAAAATACCTCTCAGTGCACTTGAAAGGTAAGTTTATCCACAATGTTTCTTGTTGCACTAAAAAAAAAATCTCATATTACTTTTGGAATGTAGTTTCATCACAAACCCATGGCATAGCAAATGATAGATCATTACAGGTAGATCCAAACTGGGTGACTGCAATTACACAGTGTACTTCAGGCCAAATTTGGAAATTGCTCCTGTTTCCCTGTCATGCACTGTGCTCTCCACTCTATAATTGGCTCAAGAAACCTTATTGCAACGCAGTGCTCATATATTCACATCAGAACTCTAGGATACTCTGTTCTGGTTTTTTTAAAAGAGTGTTGGGGCAGAAATAAACATTGTTTGTATTATGTGTTTAGTTTTCCAACTTGTGAGGATTGTGAAGGAGTAGGGAGAGAATCGTAGGCCCCTTCTACACTGCCCTGTATCCCAGGATCTGATCCCAGATTATCTGCTTTAAACTGGATTACATTAGTCTCCATTGGCAGTCTGGGATAAGCAGAGAATCTGGAATCAGATTCTGGGATATAGGGGCAGTGTGGAATGGGCCTCAGATGTCCTACCCACAATTAATATTTTATACAAAGTTATGTGACTACTTATTCTTGTGCCTTCCTTAGGAAAATAATAGGGGTTGTTTTTAGTATGTAACCTAGTAAATAAGGAGAATTTTCAAAACTGCAGGAAATTCACTGGGGGCTCGGTTAAATGGCAATTAAATCCTGAAGAGTGCTTCAAGTTTCTAAAGAGGCTGCACCTAGAAGTGGTACCGTTTTTTGTAAAATGTGACAGAGGCAAATACCAAGAGTCTACATTTCCAAGTTTTTGTTTCCTGTAATCCTAACTGACATGGGATGAGGAAAGAGATCGTTGGCAAAAAGCGTGTTCCCAAGCTTAAAAAGTAAAGTGTTCTGAAAGGACTGTATTCGTTACAGAAAGTTTGAAAAATATTAGAAGAATGCGACTCCAAATTGAATTTCCAAGGAAATCTTGAGGACTAAACAGCTTCATTCAATATGGCGTTTCCAACAGGTAACTTGACTGCTAGGTCTTCCTTGGGTGGTCTACAGAAACAAAAAGCGAGCCATCTGTTTCTAGCTAGAAGACCTTGCAGCTATGTCTGTTCCTCTAAGCCTGACATCACTGTCTGAGTTGAGCTCATATCCATACAAGCTTGTACCTGTCTTTTGCAGCATGTGGCTATATTTACTATTACATCGAGAATTTCTTGTAACAGGTTAAGCCACGTTGAAATTCAGATGTTGGCTTCAAGCTATATCAAGACTAGACTCACAAACTCTGCCTCAATACTGTTAGTGTTTGAGAGCGCTTATCATAAGGCACAGAGTAATTTGTTCACACAAATTACACAATGGGGTCTCTCACAAGGCAAGGGAATTATAGATCTTTATCAGCATCATGGCCAAATGTTAATAGACACCAGAGTTTGTGTTCAGTAGGCTTTGCTCAATAGTTTATACGTAGCCCAATAGTTCAGGGATGTAGAGGCAGCATTGCTATTATCATTGAGCTCTTTAGTTATATACTCAAATACATGCATATAAATATACGTCCATAAAAGAAGGAATATTTAAGGTAGGGGTGGGTCTCCAGAAGTCCCATTAATCATAATCATAGGGAATGCTGAAATTTGAAGAGTGGTTATCTTAAAAGCAGTAGTTCAACAAAAACACGTTGAAAGGTGACAATAACATCTTCTCATAGACAGCCAAATGAATACCTGTGTGATAATTAAAAGAATCCAAGTTCCAGAGTCACAGATTATCTTCTACATTAGAGGCTTTTAAACTTTTGTCCACCACGTATTTTGGAGTCCAGTGACCAGAATCCCATGCAGTTTGATTTTTCTGGAAGTTTGAAGTCCAAACTTCTAGAGGGTCAAAAGTTGGTAATTATTACTTTGGGAAGACATTATAACAGAAAGCGCCAAAGGGAACAACAATGCAAAAACTACAAGCAGTGAAAAGTCAATCAATTTTTATTTAATAAACAAAGGTTGAGTGGTTATGTAGGTCCCTTCATAAACAAGCTGATTAATACCTCCACTGAAACAAAAAGTCTGTCCCCATTCAAGCCATAGGACCTGGCATTGGAGTCCCAGCAGCTGCTTGTGCTGGGGGACTTCAATGTCCACGTCGAGACCGCCTTATCGGGAGTGGCTCAGGACTTCATGTCTGCCATGGCAACCATGGGGCTGTCCCAACAGGT